GGCCCCCCGGACGAAGCAGGGATCACAGCAGCGCCACTGGGATGGCCAGGTGGAAGTGCGGGGCCTGAAACGCAGAGAAGGAGAATTAGACGTGAAGCGCAGTCTCCTCCAGCCCACGCGCCAGGTCACGTTCCCGTTGCCAAGGCTGTGACCTGACTGCGTGATGAGCGAGCAGCGCAAGGAAGCACCAAGCATGCAGAAGAATGGGAAACGGTGGTTGCATCGATGGTCAAGTCAGCTACCGTTGTGTCCTCCTGCCAGACCCTGTCACTGAAAAACTAGCCCTCTCCCTCCCCCCGGCTGGGCTAGTGTTTTATTCTGTCCCAAAATCAAAACACAGAGAACGCTTCCCAGTTTACAAGTGCCACCTTCTTCTGCTCCTCTCGTAGCTTTCCACATGGAGATAATACGCTGTATCAGCCAACTCCGTGGACTTAGTGAACATCAGCTTTTCACCGCAGTTGTGAGCTGCAGCGACATGTCCTCCTTTCCGCTGAACGCAGAGCGCGTGGTCGCAGCCGGTCTTGCAAAATAACAGGGCAGAGTCCAGCTCCAAGCACCCCCCGGCTGAGCAAAGCTCCCCAAAGCTCAGCCTGTTGGAGGGACTGATGGTGGGCAGCTCTGTGGCATTCTGCCTGTCTGTAGTGGGTCAGCTGAACGAACCCGCCTCGCTGAGGGTACCTCCCCACGATACACCCTCTCAGGCTGCTCGTGATGTATAATCACCAGTTCGGTTGTTCAGTAAGTGTTACTTTGAAAGACAGACGGGTTTTGACTGAGGAATGTTTGGAAACTGTATTTAACATTAGCAGCCTGGTTTTCTTCTTATCTAGGTTTTCTTACAATACTGCTTTATTCCTGTGGTTACTTCTGCCATTATTTCACACTCCCGATTCCATTCTTAAAATGAACCATAGCTGCTATTAGAAATACTTTAAACGTTTCAAGTCCTCTTTGGTTCACGAACATAATAGCTAGTAATTCATTGTGGGTACAGTTAATTGTAATTGCAAAACTACACCCACCTAATTAGAGGCCAGCCTGAGGCAAAAATTGAACTGAGTCAAAATAATGGACTGATGTGAGTTTAAAATAACTTTATTGAACTAAGTGGATTTCAAGGACTTATATCAGCTGAAGGACTGAGCCTCCAGCGGTTGCTGTAATATTTCTAGGAGAAAGTAGAAGGAAACATTTCGGCTTTTTTCCTTTTCTAGGCGCATCATTTAAGCATTATGTGTGGTTATGAACAGGAATGGATCCAAGTCACAAAACGTATGATCTGCATTGCAAACAGGCATTACTCGTAACTGTTCTGACTCCGCAGGCCTTAGATGAGCACTAGAAATCAAGACCATACGCAAAGTGGCAGACCCAAGCTCTTGATCTGCCTGCAATGAAAAAAGGTTTGCTGGAATAGTTATAGTGACAAGCCTTCAACTATAAATGCAGTTTAGATCAGGAAGAGTTTTTAGAATGAAATAAATTACACAAGCACAGGTAACTATACTATATAGTTACCCAGATAACTATAACAAAATCTATGTTATATCTTTTGCTGGTAACAGAAATACCACTTCAGAAAAAGAGTAACAATCACAACCTCTACCAATATGGCTACACAGACAAGAAGTCTATTGCAGACCTGGCCTCCAGCTTCAGAAGAGCCCTTCCACTATAGATGGACCAGCTGAATATAGTTTTTGTACGAAGCTCACTGCCAAATGCAATTTGACTCTGCTGAATGATAAAAATCTCCTTCTGGGCTAATACAGTAAGAACATGCATTGCAACCCAGCTACAGGGCCTTGGTCCTGTAATTCTTGCTTTTTGCCTTGCTTTTAGCTTGGAAGGTCCCTGGACCAGTCCTGAGTGATTTCGATACTCTTCGATACCTTGGTTTCAGAAAGCAGGTAGAGCAGGAGTAGCCTTGGGTCTCTCGAGCCCTTTTTCTACCGGTCACGGGCAGTGCCAAGTGGGCTTTTGAAAGAGCTGAAAGCTCAGGCTTTCTACAGGTCACAACTCATTCAAAATCAGTACTTACTCAAGTGGGCAATGGCTGATGAAGTCATGTAAGGAGGGGTCCTCCTGGGCATAGTCACCTCAGAGACAGCAGCGTAAGGGGGAGGCAATGGAAGACAGTGTGACATGGGCTGATACCACTGCTGTGGAGGACGAGATGATGGATGGGAGGATGGGGAGGGAGCCTGGCCAAAGGAGCTGGGGGAGCTGGTGATGGTGGGCAGCAGGGAGGAGGGTGCAGCTCCTAGGTGTGGAAAGGACCTGTCCACGCTTTTCACCTGGGTCCCAGAGGGGCCTAAAGCAATTTGTTCTTCAGGATGGCCATTCAGAGGTACGTTTGCCGAGGTCTCCTGGCCTGCTTTATCTGTGGGTCCCCTGACCCTGTCAGGCAGGACAGGAATCACGGGCAGGATGGTGGGACCACGCGGCTGCAGGACATCACCCCTCTGCAGAGGTGGTCCATTTGCGGTGGGGGAAGCAGAAGACCGAGGAGAGCACGAAAGAGAAGAGCGCCTGAGAGGCTGGCGAGAAGCGAAGGGCATGTGGGAAGGATGGGGAGGTGGTGGAGACAGCGAGGTTTGCCTGATGCCTGGCGTTACGGTGCTGTGGTTTGGGCAGGCTGGAGGGGAGGAACCTGGGGCCGTCGGCAGCTCGGAGGCCGAGTGCCTGTGCAGGAGCCGCGGGGGCTCTCTGGCTCCCTGCCGGGGTCTGGAAGAGGAGTGACTAGTGGGCCCAGGGCCAGCGGGTGCCACAGAGACAGCGCGGGCGTGAGGTGGTGGCGGGGGCACAGCGCCAGTGGCGGGAGCACCGCAGTTACTGCAGGCGGGAGGAGGAGACTGGAGCTGAGAGCGGGGAGAGCACACGCTTATCGGAAGGGTGGAAACTAAAAGGACAGAAAAGACAAATGAAAAGAGTAAGATGGGTACACGGCAAGGAACGAAACCAAGGCAAAGCAGAATGGAGAAAAAGGAACCGTGAAGTAAACGCAAACAGAAACTCAAAACAAAGAGGAGATGGTGCAGGCACCGGCTTGGGGGTTTCCAACCCTCGGCAGAACCGGCGGGCTCCGCGGAGCAGGACCCTGGCAGCACAGGGGGGCTGTGTGCTCCAGTGCTCGTGGGGCTCCGGAGTCCCGTGTGAATCTGGGTCAGGATCGCGAGCATCACCCATGCACCAGGGGCAGCTGCAAAGGGACACGCTGAACACAGCGGTGGCCACTTCGTAGCCAGGGAGGGGACAGCCAGAAGCCCCTGGCAGCCACGTCCCACTCCTTGCGGACGCCAAGGCAGGATTTTGGCTGTGTTCCCTATGCGGAACAGCACACAGTAACCTCTGCTGAAACGGGAGTCCAACAACTGCTGTCACTGACTGTGGTATGTGTGTATGTCTGAGCTGGTTTCAAGTCAAAAACTAGGAAGTTGTAACAGCTGGGGAAAAGCATTTCACTTATGTAGCCAAATTAACTGAAAAAACTTACCCAAAACAAAAGCCCAAACACAAGATGGCCATCTTCGCTGGCTTGCTCTGCCTTCTTTCAGAGAGGCAAAGCCATACTTTGTGGTTATAAGCTATTCCTGTCACCTCTTCTCGCAGCTTAGTGCAACTTAATATGCTATAGCAGATTTTTGTAAGCTCATTAAATATACATTTTTTTTTCCATTAAGCTCACTGAAGAATCCTGACTTCATGGCCACAAAAACCCCATCAATGAGCATTTAGAGCTATATTTTCCTCTGCGTTGCGGTTTGCTTTGTGCTGCAGAGTGATGGGGAGCGCCTGACCTGGCACATCCAGCACGTCCACCCTTTCATGCTGACATCCCCTGGAAAAGCAGAGTCAATCTTTGCTACCTGCTTTCCTCATGGGTGTGGAAGAAGCATGGCCAGGCCCCCTCGGTATGCCTAAAACCCCCCTCAGCTGTACAAGTTTTGCCAAGTGCAAAACCTGCCTAGCTACACCTGCACGCCCCGGACCTGAGCCTCTGCGAAACAGCACAGCCAGGCCCAAACGCATGTAAGTCCCTGGCTGAAAATGCTCTAAAAGCAAATCAGAACTATACCCGTTTTTAGCAGTCTAGCTCTTGTATAGCACCACACAAAACCTGACTACAGCTAGAGGAGAGAAGCAGGGCGAGACTATCTGCTTGGTTTGATACGTGCCTGTGGTAGAGGTTCTTCTTTCCAAAGATTCCTGGCGCTGTTGCTGTTGCTCCATCACTTGTCTAAAATAGCAATGAAAAAACCCTCGGTCATTATGTATTCTTTATAATTTTGAGTAAAAGCTTTACACATGGAGAAGCACTCAAGCTGTATGTCTCGGGTGGTGTGAGCCAGTCCCTCACGGAAATGCTGTTCCTGTGGGAGGGAGGTGGGTTTGATTTCACTCGCCCTGGCCGCAGCGGTGCCATTGCACGCGTTGGGCAAGCGCAGCCAGGACATCGCCCCGCACCTGCCGGACACTGTGGCGGCTGGTTGATCCATTTAACTCCTCAACAGGCTCTGCAGGAGGCACGGTCAGTGCCCCCGGTCCAGGAGAACGCAGCAACCATGCGTGTGGTTAACCTGGAGCGGATGAGCATTGCCAGGGAAGAGTAAGGAGGGTCTCGCATAAAATAACACAGTCCTGAGTCTTTACGGATCGGGAGCCCAAAGGACTTGTAGGACTTAAAATGAAAATATAAAGAAGCCTGATCTGCGCTCAGGTGGTGGCTGTACAACACCTGTTTTGCCCAGCTGCACAGCCAAGCCCTTTGCTGGCACTGACAGCCTGCCACTTCGCGTGCCGGCGCAGCCACGCGTGTGCCGGCCAGCGTGGCCACGGGGACCACGACCACCGGCTCTCCTCCACAAATGCAGATCGCGATGCTGCTTTTTTGGCACCTTGCCCCACCCAGGAGCTGCTACCTCCCGTGCTACCCAGGCCTGGCGTCCCGCCGGGAAACGCACTGCCAAGCCGTGTCCCAGGCTCTGCTTCCCGGAGCCGCGCCGTTCCCAGGCTCCGTCAGCAGAGGTCTGCTCTCGCACGCCCCAGCGCTGCTGCGGAAGGAGCCGTCACCCTTGCACGAACCCGCCCCGGCACTCCTCTTCTTGTTAAAAAGCCCGAGAGCTGAAAACTAGGATATTTGCCGGGCTTTTCACCATGCGGGTGGATATGGGCTAAAGATTTCAACAATACTAAAACACGACTCTGCAATTACCTTACTGGAGCACTTGGTAATAGGGTTTGTTACAATTTTCTTCCGTGAATTCTACACCAAGTTTGCCTTGAATTTGTTACACGTATGTTTTAATTGCATAGAGATTTCTTTTTTCTGTAACAACTGTACTTCACGGTAAGGCAAGCTTAACTCCAGGCAACACTTCTATTTTGACTCCTTATGTAGTATTTTAGAGAGATCTCCTTGATGATACATTTTTACTTGTACTTTTCTGAGCCTGCAATTTTAAATAATTCTATCTTCTTACGTATAAATAAAGCTTTTTTAGAAAAAAGTCCAGAAAAATAAAGTTACATTATGTAAGGAAAAAAGAATGCCTTAATTTGTAAAACAAATTTCCCATATTTAAAGTCTCATTCAATAGATGGGACAGGAAAATCCACAATTATAATTATTTGCTGTGGAGGGATCAATCCTAAACTGGTTTTATGTTCAGGTCATGCAATCCATTGAACACTGGTAATTTCTGGAAAACTGTTATAGGCAGCTGAGACAATTATTATATGTGCAAAGGGGAAACAGTTTTGAGGAACAGCCTGAGTTGGCTGATTCAACTAGTTTCATTTAAGCTACGACCCTTTAAACCAAATAAATAGAAATCTTTACTTCAGTACATACCCCGGCTCTGACTTGATAGTTATGGGCTGAGCACATATACAACAGCATCTATTGCACTGCTAAAATTTCAATTGTAAACACATGTACTTAGAATTTCCTAAGCATACCATCCTCTACCTTCGGTTGGCATTTATGAGCAAAATTTGATGATGAACAACAACTTGACATACATTTTCTTCGTTAAACCTAGGGGAAATTCTAGGTTTATCTGGAGGACAGACTTGGAAAACTCCAGCCTGGCAGACCAGGAAAGAAATATGGGTAAGAAAGACGTCTCCAAGTCATTAGAGCTGTGGCAGAGCAGATACGGGTGCGAGGTGCTCCCCAAAATAGGGGTCAGCCACCACCATTTAAAGTCATTGGGGTTCATGCCAGTCCTGTCTGCCCTTGGGCAGATGTGGTTTATATGTGCCAAATGCACCTTCCCACCCGTGCTAAAAGGAGAAGTTCTTACACTATTAGAAAGTAAAATTTATTCCAGTGGAACTAAATAAAGCCAGAGATTGGCTCAAGGCTGCTTAAGGAGTATGCAAGGAGTAAAGTACAAGAGGGGACAAATTACACTCTAACTTAAAAACATAGTCTTTCAACATTTGTTGTAAAGGTCTCTAAAAAACCTTTTAAACAGCCAAATTTGCAGGGTAGTTACCATAGCTTCATTTCCTTGCCTGCTTAGAAGATGTTTAAAAAAAGCTAGGCCTAAAATTAGGTCTGCTCTATGCTTAAAGAATGCATCAGCATAATTAAAGCTGAAAATCCTCTAGTGCAGATGCAGTAATATCTAAGTGCATCTACTGGCATAGATTATTCCAGTCCAGTGGAGCAAAAGAAGCTTTCCCAGAACCATGTGCCCTGTAGCAGTCAAATAATACCTACCCAAAAGGCTTTTACTGTCTCTAAACAAAAAACAATAAATAAAATATTGTTTTTCCCTAATGTAGTTACGCTGCTTACACTTTAAATGTATGGACCAGACACCTAAATCTGAGGTCTGAGTTACATATGGTCCGAAGGATCAGTGATTTCCGCTGGTTAAATGAAGAGCGGGATGAGGTCCTTCAGCGGGGGGGTGGGGACAGGCGGCACCCCCGCCTCGGGGCAGCAGCTCCCCTCGGACCCAGTCGGAACGGTGGCCCTGGAGCATCAATGCAAATGATATATCGCAACACTTCACCTCTGCTGCTGCAGGAGCGCGTGACATTAAACCACCCAGCGCACAGGGCCAGGGCAGTCCCTGGACCCTGCAAGGAGGGACCCTGCCTGCTTACAGGCTGCACCTACGAAGAAAGGCAGAGCCCACCGAGCGCCTGTCACATCGGACCAACAGCCGACATCTTTGGTGCTGAACTGCCCCTGCAGGTCTGGCTCCACTAAAATCCTTACAAAGCTATTTATTATCTGAACCAAACACTGGGGCAAGCCCTCTGGAGGGCTACCTGCACCGGCTGATCCTCCTCTCTTTACAGGAGCAAAGGCAGACACCTCATTTAAGCAAAGCCAGGCACCAAACCTGGGGCAGCGACGGGTCCTGCCGGTTTCTGTCCTCCAGCGCACTCCTGATGGAGCGAGGCTCACCACCTTACACGTGTCATGGCAGAATATTCTCAGGTGTTTCTCGTACAGTAGCAGAAACGCACTTGCAGTGAGCAGGAATATGGGGAACAGAGGTGCTTTTTTTGTGTGCCCAAGGATACACTTCAACAGGGAAGCACAAGCCTGGCTAAGCAGAGCTGCTGGCGGGGCCACCACCGATGCCGGGCAGACAGATCACAGCTCTGAAAGCACGGACTACCGGTCAGACTAGAAGACTTTGTCCAGAACGGGACGGGTATGTCCTATACTTAGCGAAGGAAGCTGAAGATGCTGCCGCTACAGGGATTTCTACTGCTGCTACAGGAACCTGGGCTACATCAGCAGGTTATGAGATGGGCCTCATAATTTCATTATGGAGACAGGAATCTAATGCCAGACACTCCTGCCCACCTCACCTTTGATGTCAAGACCACTCCTAGCAGCTAGAGAAAAGGCCATGTGCAATAATGGCACTAAGTCTGACATATGTGTAAAAGTGAAGGGTATGACTTCACACTTTCATTTATTATCCCGGAGTAGAGCAAAACATTCGTAAAAGGAATGGCATACAATATAGGAAGTAGCCATACACAAAATGGGCCTAAGCTATTACTGAGAGTGTATATGGTCCATCAGATGCTCCCTGGGCCATATGACCGTCAGCTGCCAGCAGGTGATCCAGAACAGGGTAAGGTTAGGCTTGCTTAATGCGCTCGAGAAACACATACTCTACAAACTGCTTTTAAACATGTTTTGTCTTTAATTCTGAACATTGCTTGCCTTGGAGCAAAGAGTTTACCTAGAGCTTCAGTTCACCCTTTAAAAGTCATTACAGAATCATTAGCGGTAACTACAGAAAACTCAGAATCAGCTTAAAACAGGTACAAGCGAAAAGACACATTCATCCGAGTTACAAACTACAACTCTACCATAACTGATTAACTCACCTTCTCTGAGCTTCCATCTCATCCGGAGATGGCCCATTCTGGACCTGGCGCTGGGCAGCTGGACCTACAGAAAAAATGAGAGAATGCTATTATGAAAGCAAACGTGGCTGTCTTTTTCAAAAAACAGTGCCACTCACATTAACTGATTCTCCATCTCACTATGAGTAAAAAACCTCAATTATTATTATATTCTCTTTGTCTTTTTTTTTTTTTTAAATTATTTTTTTTCCTATTGGACAAATCATTGTCTCCTATAAATTTTTAGTCCCACTGGGAAATCCAATGGCTAAATGTGTGAGCGGATTTGTCCAGAAACTTGGCATTGGTAGCTGTAGACTACATACTAATCCCTTGGTGTTGGTGAAGACCCGTAGTGTTGCCAGAGATGCCCTGTGGAAGAACAGTCCATCACACTGGGATGCATTTCTAGCTTCTATAGGGTTCAGATCTAGCTTCCCTGGATTATTCTGTGCTTGCACAGTAATTCAGTCACAGTGCTGAGTTTGTGAGCATACATGCTAGCTGGTGCTGCTCTGATGCTGAGGTGGCATCAAGAGGCTACCTGATGGAAGGTGCAAGGAGATGCAAAATTAAACAAGCCTTTCACAAAGGTGGCTTTTCTTTTTACAACGCTGTTGGCCTGCTTCTGCAGGATCCACATCAAGCTGAGAGTTCACTGGTATTCACCAACAAAACCCAGCTACACACGTCACCATTTAAGTCACAACTCCTCTCTTGACTCTGATCATTTAATAGCTGTTCTTGGACATTTAATCAAGCACACTGACGCTACATGCCATTTTCAGAAGGAAACAATTATTCTGAAAATAAAAATAATTGGTGGTAACATAAGCTACAGTGGCTTGCATCTGGTGGAAGGAGGATGTTGCAATGATTTGACAAGGTGGGTTTCAACTGGGACTAAACAGATGGGAGTTAATTAAAGGCAACAGCAATTTTCCTGATAAACAGCACTGAGAAATAGATCAGTTATATGCAGGAAATTACTATGTCTAACCTGTTTTTTTTCATTTTCAAATGTAAAATTTCATCCTTTTAAAAGTTATCCAACAAGAGCAAATCAGAATTAAACAGTTACAAACCACAAATTGTTAAGGATATTTCTCTCCATTTTCTTTGTATGTTTCTGCCAGGCAGAATGCCATCCAAAAACGAATTTAGAAAGTATGACTATGTGAAAGATGGCAGAAATGCATTGCAGTCAGAAAGTCCAGAGCGTTGACTGATCCTGATAAAATGATGCATGTTTTTGGAATGTGTTTAAGGAGTAACATTTGCAGAAAGGGAACACAGCACTTTCTAAAAATTGTGTCCTTGTATTCCAGTTTTGGGTATCCCAAAAATGAAGCCAGTGACAACCACTGAGTCAAAAGTTCTGACATTTAAAAATATCTTAGGTCTGGGTATGAAGTGAAGACAGTTCACTTCTTTAGTGTCTCACGACTGACAACTTAATGTTGTTTGTCACAGGCCTTTGCAAACTATTTAGACAGAAACGCCGTATTTTGTAAAGATCACAGAAAACAATGAACGGTGGGGGAGAGGGTGGTTTTTTTGGAAGCAAGCCTCAGGAAAAACTTAGCAGGTATTTGGGAAGCACAGAGCAGGCGGCTCACATGTAAGGAGGATGCCATGTTACTGCGTGAATCCTCGTACTGCGCATCTTCACCACTGAAGTGAAAGAAGGCCAGAGCTATCCCTGAGCAGCAGTTACAGAGTGAACTTAAACTTCTTCTGAGAACAGTAGAAAGACAGGTGAGGTCCCATCCCCAACCTGCGAAATTGGACCAGACTTCCCACAATTAGCAGGGTCACCGGTTTGGACCCTGGCTCTGGTGTGTGCAGGTAGCACCCACGTTCTGCACACACACACATACCTGTGAGATGATACTTCAGTAAGCAGACTTCTGGGTGAAAGACTTTCAAGGCTTAAGTCAGTTACACCTCCCTCACCGGGTAACAAACTCCACAATGACAAGCCTTAGCCATGCTCTTCGCTGCATATGATTTCATCACAAGAAAACTTCCCTTGTGTAAAGACTCAGTGCATCATACAGAAGCCAGCACTCTGCTTGGAAAGAGGACTAAAAGTAGGCTCCAACATGAACAAGGAAGACCAGAGGATGAGGCAGCAGAAACAACAATTCTTCCCCAGCAATAAATCATGTCAAAGTATATAGGAGACTCTAATGATGCCACCTTAATCTGGTACTTTGGCATTAATCTTTTCTTGGGGCCAAATGCCCAGAAAAATCATAAAATCATAGACTCATAGAATAGTTTGGGTTGGAAGGGACAATTAAAGGCCATCTAGTCGTCCCCCCGCCGCTGTGAGCAGGGACATCTTCAACTAGAGCAGGTTTCTCAGAGACCCGTCCAACCTGACCTGGAATGTTTCCAGAGATGGGGCGTCTTCTACCTCTCTGGGCAACCTGTGCCGTTGTTTCACCACCCTCATGGTGAAAAACTTCTTCCTCTTATCTAGCTGAAATCTGCCCTCTTTTAGTTAAAAACCATCTCCCCTTGTCCTATCGCTACAGCCTCTGCTAAAATGTCTGTCCCCATCTTTCTCATAAGTCCCCTGTAGTGTGGCCAGTTTGACTAATACTAGACATGCAGAAGGAATCAAAGACCAGACTATCAACACCACACAAAAAACCCCCAGTCCTTTTTCCTGTGGGCACTGTTATGAACTGGCTATGTAGGTTTAAAACCAAACAAATCCAACCAAATCAACAACCCTTTTAAGGCAACTTTACATAACACATCTGGAACTTGGGGTTGCTTTTTATCATCTGGAGCTTTCTGAAGCTGATCTTGCATAGCAGGCAGGTAAATGAAAGAGCATATGAACCTGCAAACAAGTCCATCTCAGTTTTCAGCACAAAGGAGTCTTAGTAAATTCAATGAGTTTACTTACATTTTCCGATGTGTATGTGTATGCTTGCAGGTTTAAAATCACACTTGAAACTAAATACACTGCTTTTGGTTGCAATACATGGTTACAAAATGAACACTGGCATTAAAAAAATTGTCTGTGGTACAACAAATACCTGATGTACTCCCAGGGCAGACCACAAGTCTATTCAGACAATGTTACTGGAAAATTTTTCCCTCACCTCACTGAAAAATTTCATTTCGCTCCCTTATTCAGAGATTAACTCCATGCATTACGAGTCTTTTTTTTTTTTTTTTTTTTTTTGTATTAAGAATCCCGGATGATTGTTTCAGTTGGCAGCATTTTATTCTTCTTATTATTTGGTCATAGTGTGAAATGTCCTTAAAATGAAACACATAAAGCTCCTAATTATGTTCTGAAATTGTCAATATCTTCATAGTTTCTATAGAAATACTCTCCTCCTTTGGCAGACAAAAACAAGAGAAAAAATATCAGAAGGAAAAAAGCTACTTCGGACCTGACTCAGTAAATAATAGACATTCAAAAACTCTCTGCGTAAGTGGTGACAAATTTGCAGGTATTTTTATTTGCGCATTAATTTAAAAAGCCAGACAACTTTTCCGATGCACAGGGTACACGACTGCATGGCCACCAAATGCCTTAATTCTCTCTCTGATACCTTGAGACACATAACAGTGTTTTCTGAGTAATGACTAATTCCTCTTTTACTTTTTCTCTTTCTTTAGCATTAATCTTCTCTTGGGGCCAAATGCCGAGAAAAATCACAGAATCATAGAATAGTTTGGGTTGGCAAAGACCTTTAAAGGCCATCTAGTCCCACCCACCTGCAATGAGCAGGGACATCTTCAACTAAAGCAGGTTGAAAGAAAAAAAGACTTTCCTCTTTTTCTTACTCTAAGGTTTAGATTTCTTACGTAAATGAACACACTGCAGCAAAACATCATTCATTTATTTAAATCTTTTCCAGACTAATTTTTCTTCTATTTTACTAGTGACCAGTAGTGAGACATTAAAGAAGTGGACTTCATACCCAATCCTAAGACATTTTTAATGTCCTCTTCTGCACATTAGTTTTGTTTAGCACAATTTTCTTCTCAAAGTGCTTTAGAAGTGAAGTACCTGACAAAGCTGGGAGACGAAAAAAGGCAAGCATGAACAGAAGAGGAGGATGAAGCTGTAGTAGATAGCTTGTCCTCTCTCCTGTGTAAAACAAACAGCAGTGGAGTAAAAGCTGGTAAGAGAATGCAACCTACACCAGCTCCAGGGGTCAAGCACAGCCTGTGGGAACAGGGATACTTGTTTTGTCTTCCTGCAGAGGCTTGTATTGATTGGAAGTGGCTGGAAAAGAGTTTGAGGAAAATTGGATGTGGAGTCTTCCTGGGGTAACAGGGTGTTCAGGGCAGTCACACCTTTTGCTGCCAGTGGGGTTACAGCTCGTCTTGCCACCAGTGGGGAAACACACTGGTTTTGTTTGGCACTGTTTGTTGTTTCGCTTGAGTTATTCACAACCATAAGAAATATATCCTTCTGGCATCCTGCTTGTGATCTTATTCAAACCAGTCATTATTCTAATACGAAACCTTAATTGCAAACCCTAAAGAAAAATGTTAGATTCACGCTGTTTTGGCAACCAAGATTTTGCCTGAGGGTGGCAAATGCACTTAAAAGTCCAACCCAAGGTTTCAGGTCTGTTCATTGCCAGAAACAGAAAGCCTGCTAGATTTCCCTTGCCTCCCAATCCAGCCAGACCCAGGCGCATCACCATCTGATGTGAAGCCTGCATACAACTTCAGTCTCCATAATGGTGGAGCTCCTTGCTTCTCTCATCCTTGAGCTTACTTTTAGCGTGCTCAGCCAAAGCTCATACAGACACTGAAGGCAGGGATTATTTTTACACTTGGCTCCATATGTGCTCTACAGTGCACATACAGCAGACACCGGTTTGACTAAGGGTTTTTTAAATTCAAGTGGATTTCTAGGTTTAACTATTCTCCGCATTTTTAGATATTTCTCAGACTTGAGCAGACATGAACAGTAAGTGCTCTTGGTGATGGCATCCTCATTCAAACATGCTTCTCAAGTTGCCTTGTGAGCTGCCTCCGACCCTGCCAACCTTTGGGAAC